CTTGCACAGGCCGGACTGAGGGATTCCGGCCGGACTGAGGGATTCCGGCCCCCCTTCCCCCGGTGCACAAATTTTTTTGCACTGGGCCTCTAGTCTATATATATAAAAGCCTAAGTGACTGTTCCACCAGTAGCTATGACATGCACTGACCGCCAGGGGGCAGACACTCAACCAGTGGTTCTCAACCTTCCTAATGCTGCGACCCTTTAATACAGTTCCTCATGTTGTGGTGATCCCCAAACATAAAATTATTTTCATTGCTACTTCATAACTATAATTTTGCTACTGTTATGAATCATAATGTAAACATCTGATATGCTATATGTGTTTTCTGATGGTTGCGACCCACAAGTTGAGAACTGCTCAACACACAAGCTTGGAAACATGGAACAGACTGATGAATCTCAGAGGGAAAAAGGGTAGGGGGAGGGAGGGAAGAGATTTACCAAAGATCTTATATGCAGTCGGGTCCCTTGGCCTGTCCTGTGGGGTTTGGGCCGAAACCGGCAGTCCAACATCCCCCGAGGGGTCCCAGATTGTGAGAGGGTGCAGGCCAGGCCAAGAGACACCACGGGTGCACAAATCCATGCACGGGGCCTCTAGTGTAATAATATGAAATTATAATAATTTATCAAATCACTGCGAAGAGGTTCATCCTCATTTTTAATACACTGTCAAGCATTATTTCCTTCTAAAATTTTTAACTAAATATTTTATTTAAAATTTTTTTGTTTTATTTTTATGCCCAAAATTTTTTTATGTTTCTGTGTACAAATTATTTATTTGATTGCATCTGTACTGGCCTTGGATCATATAAGAATTCTTTTAAACAAAGTTTTTTTTTTGAGGAAAAAAAAAATGTATCTTGTTTATTCACAAAATCATTTTAATATAACTTCTTAATTCAACTCCCTCCCCCTTCCCCCTAAGAATGGTAATCTCTTACTATACAGAGATTTCCCTTTTTTGTTGTTCAGGATTTTTACTTGTCAACACTGCAGAACATTTCACTGCTATGGTTAAATATCCATATAAATTTTTTTAATCTTCCTACCTCGTTTTGAATAAATGTTCATGATATAAATATTATAGGAGACATTTTTCTCTACTTTTAAGCTTCTCTATAACCTAAAGAACATTGTACATTTCACAGTAGTATTGCCCTCCCACCTTTCTGAACTCAGCCCACACCAATTTCTCTTTCTACTTAAACACCCATTATATATGTGACCACAAATATGTCACATGTTCCCAAGAAAAAACTTTGTTTTATCATTTCTAATCATATTAGTATTTATTTCAACCTTTTAAATTGTATCTCTGTGAAAACGTTACATTACATCATGATGTGTTTTGTAGATCAAGTCAGGAAATAAAAAATTGATATGGTGGGCAAGGGTTGTGTAAACCAATGTTTGAAAATATGTTGAGATAGCATAAAATTAAGAGGGGTCCTTTCAAATATATCCAGCCAGGTCTTTATTGAACCAAAAAGGCCAGGCTAGATGAATAAGCGCTGCAGATGCAACATTAATTTGTAAGGTTCAAAGTATCCTAACAACCTTGGCTCCCCACTTCGCTGCCTTACCTCTCTCCAACTCAGAAGCATACATTAACTTTGGCAGGTAGAGAGGATTTTTTGTTTATTTTTCCCACTGACCTTCCATGGTTCCTGAAATTCTCAACCATAATTTATTCATCTGGGAGAAAAGTACAGTAATATAATTCAAATAAACTAGTACAGACTGGGGACATAGACAATTAAAGTTTGATAGAAAAGAACAACAAAAAGGAAAGTCTCAGCCTAAAGCATGTGGATTTGAAGGGCAGAAATCGAAAAATGAGATGAAGTTTGTGTGGAGGAGATGGAGCATCAGGGGACAAGGAAAGAAAAGGGAAATCCAATCTTTTGCCTCATTTGCAGTCTTTCCTGGACTCATTAAGCCTCAACTAGCAAAGAGATTCTGTTCGTTGGAATCCCAAAGGAAAACTAGAACAGATACCGTTTTCATTTTTTAAACCTTGGCATGTGGCACATTCAGTGTCCATTTTTAACAAAATTTTTTCCTCAGCAATGTATAAAAACGTGCTGGGTTGATTTAAATGGTTAATAGTAAATAGTATTAACTGAAAATAAATAGCAACTATTTACAAAATTGGTCAGTAGCATTTACCTAACATAGATACCATGGTTGCATTTCTTTGTACTTTCTTTTGAAAAGTTTTAGCTCCTTCTGTTATACTGTTTTAAGCTACATTTAGTAAATGCTTGGGGGCAGTGATGTGATCTTAAAGGATGCCTAGCTGTAGGACTACTGCTCTACTGGCTTGGCCCCTAAAAATGTGCCTGGATTATTTCAAAATAAATTAGGTTTAGAGTGTCGATAATGCTGACCTGTAATTTATGGATGCATATATGTTTTTACTTTGTAAATATAGTTCATTTACCCCTAAAATGCAAGGCAGACGGATGGGGACTTCAGGAAGAGCCATCACGAAGAGCACCAGTGTGAGTGGAGAGATGTACACACTGGAGCATAATGATGGCAGCCAGTCGGACACAGCCGTGGGGACCGTAGGAGCAGGTGGGAAGAAACGGAGGTCCAGCCTGAGCGCCAAGGTGGTCGCCATAGTGTCTCGACGGAGTAGAAGCACATCCCAACTAAGCCAAACAGGTGAGTGAAGCGAATGCAGCTGAAGCATCTCAAGGTCTTGCCGGAGAGACCAGAATGGATCTTCGTGCTGTGGATTGTGATGGGTTCGTAGAGTGTAGTGATGCTTCTTTGCAAAGGAAGTTTCTTTTTCTGTCTCTGGAAATCTGTTACATGTATGTGTTTTGTTTTTTTTTCCATACAGTTGTCTAAGCAAGTATAATTGTCAACCTGTCATGTGGTCAGATATGTTTCTTTAAATTAAAGGAAAGTTAAGGCCATGTTTATAAATATGCAAGGAAATGCAAAGAAGTGTTTAAGATCCAAATTGATTTATATGCAAGAAAAGCAACAGGATTTTTCCTTTTCAAAATGTTCCGCAATACAATTACTTATAATTTAGGCCCTATCTATATCTTTATAGAAAAGAAGGTCAGTTGTGCAACTTGAAATACAGTTTTTACGGCACTGTATGAACATAAAAATTGAACTGTAATTGTTAAATTTTCAATGCAAGTGAAAACCCTGCAGTTATCTTGACTTTAGAAAAATGGGTCAGCAGATTTGTGCAAAGAATAATGTTTTAATACAAATTGAGTTTCACATGTTTTTCTACTGCTTATAAATCTTAAAAGCTTTCTGTCCTCAAGGTATTTAGGAACAAAGTAAACAGGAAGATGGTTATTTCTGTATTATAAAATATAAAAAACTGCCTAAGATTATATAACATTTGGTTAGACATACTAACAATTCATTGCTATGCTCAGATAGTACTATGGAAAACGAAAGGTAAGATAAATATTGAACTGATTTCAATTGTCAGCACCTGTCTCTCCTGTTATAAACATCGGTACCATTTTTTGTTCCTTAACAGCAAAAGTGTTGTCCACAAAGTTTACTTATACGAAAAAGACTTTCATGAAATCCTTTTTATGGTTGACTTAGCATCCTGGAAAGTACTTGTTTAAAATTATGCATGCTACTGGACAGATTCACACATAAATTAGAGATAGGAAAGTTTGAGCCATTCAAAAATTGAACTAATAATACACCTAACTTATATAAACAGAGGTTTTGTCTTTCTGAAAACCACCATTTTAGACAAAGCTAGATTAGCTAGCATCTCTGTGGTAGACCTGCCACTGTGTCAGCCCACTAAGATGAGCTAACTGTTTATTGTGAAGGGGAATCATTTATCTTCTTTAGGGTCAGGATCCTTCCTTAGGAGTAGGAGGTATTCTTCCTTGTTTTGCTTTCTTTTTTATGGTGGTGCTTCTTGGTTGATGGTTTGATGTAATGATGCTTTACAGTGTCGACTGTGGATGAGCCTTTTACCACCAAATTTCCAAATCCTCCATCATGTATATGAAATGGAAATGTTCTGTGGTCATTTTAGGGAACCATGTTTCCTGTGTGAGAAGCTGCAGGTTTAGGAGATGGCTTATCTTCTCCCTCCAACTTTCCACCGTCTTTCTATTTTTATTCTTCTTCTGCAGTTAGTTCCCCCTCTATCAGTTACTAATTGAGTACCATTATATTTTCTTAGAATAAAACACAGCAATATGTTTAGCTAGGAGCCATATCTGTGGCACAGCTTTTAAGTAACAAATTCAAAGGATCGCCATGGAAACACTCAGCCCTTTTGCTTTATGAATTTAAATTTTATTCCAGCTACATTCATTGTTGAATTGCAAATACCTACCTTCCCAAAAGTTTTATTGCCAGTAATTTACCTGGAATACTTTGCCTGCCGTAGGAGACTGGGTTGCAATATACGGGAGCACAAAGGACATTAGATTACAAAGCCAAGATAACAAAACAGTTCTGTTCCAAAGTAACTCAGTGAGTGAACTTTGACTTTATCTTTCTAGGACTCTTTTCCTTTTTATTATTATACTAGAGGCCTGGTGTACAAAATTGTGCACTTGGGAGGGGGGTTCTCCACGCTGGCCTGTGCCCTCTCACAGTGCGGGAACTCTGCAATCTATCTCCCCAAAGAGGCAGGCCCCGCCCACCCATCCAGGGCTCCTCCATGGATTGCCACAAAGAGGTAGGCCGGAGCCAGGGGACCCCACGCACGGGACCCTCGGCCTTGCTGCGCAGAGCTGGAGCCGCCGGGACCCACTGGGACCTACCTCCACGGCTCCACTTGCAGGCAACCCCATTCACCCTTGTGCAAACGCTCGCTGCACATGCAGCCTCGTGGTGATGGATTGTTATGGCATGAGGGCATCACGGTGCGAGGGCATGATGACCACATAGGCTTTTATTAGTATAGATGAGTTTGCTAATATAATGGGTGGGTTGGATTCATGTCCTCCTGTGAACTCTCAACATAATAAAATTTTATGTTTCTTTTCCTACATCGTAATGTTCCCTTTTATTTGATAACCTGTTCTGATGCTTCTAAAGTAAATGACAAGTGGTGGCAAAACTATTGTTGTTCTTTGTTTCAGTGAATGGCCTGGTTTTTCCCCTCTTCTATCTTCTACAAGTGATTTTTTTCTTCTGCCAATGACTCTATTGCCTCTGTCCACTGAAGATTCAGTGACATTCAGAACTTCTCATTCTAAGAAATCTTATTTTCTATTGCTTCAGCTTCTACAAATGACCATCAGATCTGTACTTTTAGATTCCTCCTCACCCAAGAAATATTCCTTCATCGAAATGTCTTATAGAAAGCTCCTCTTGGATGCCCCACTGTAAACATGCCAGCATTCCCACACATCTGAATACTCAGCTCTTCCTTTCAACAACACCACTGTTTTAGTGGCTACAAATCCTTAGAATCTTTTCTTCTAAATTTTCTTCCTAAACTCTGTCTTCCCCAGGCCCATCATCCCAGAAAAACAAACTATTTTTTATTCAATTCTAAGAAACATTAGACAAGCTGACTTAAATGCCCTTGTTGTAAAATAAAACTATTAATTCCAAACTGGTGAGGCTTTTCAGGAGGCCCTCCAAGAGCACAGATGAGACATGTTTTCTAATAGTGTCAACTGAGCAAAGATTCAGAGGAAAACAGCATTACACATACAGGGTGGGGCAAAAGTAGGTTTATAGTTGTTCTTATGGAAAATAATACAATAAATAATAATATAAGGATAAACTGCATTTCATGTACTCACAACTATAAGCCTACTTTTGCCACATCCTCTATATTAATACAAGGTATGTATTCTATGGAATAGAATGTACATATCATGTTTAATTTAAATGTTTAATTATCCTATACAATAAAGAGGTGATATGCAAATTGACCCTCACACCCTCACAAGATGGCTGCCTACGACCAGGCCGGCAGGGGAGTTAGTGAGGGACGACCTAATGACTGAACAGCAGGCTGTGTGGGGTGACCAGGCTGGCAGGGGGTCTGTTGGGGGCAACCAGGCCAGCAGGGGGGTCAGTTAGGAGCAACCAGGCCAACAGTGAGGGGGCAGTTGGGGATGACCTGGTCGACAACGGGGAAAGTTAAGAGCAACCAGGCCAGAAGGAGGGGCAGCTAGGGGCAATCAGGCTGGCACACAGAGTCAGTGAGGAGTGATCAGGCCAACAGGGGGGGCAGTTAGGTGTGACAGGCAGGCAGGCAGGTGAGCAATTAGGAGCCAGCAGTCCAGGATTGTGAGAGGGATGTCAGACTGCTGGTTTAGGCCCGATCCCCGGGGCCTAAGGGGATCCTCCCAAGGGGTCCCGGATTAGAGAGAGTGCAGGATGGGCTGAGGGGACCCCTCCCCCACCCGCCCCCGGCACAAATTTCGTGCACCGGGCCTCTAGTGTTTAATATAAAAGAAAAACTTCACTTAAGGGCTTCTGGTATAGTGAGCTTCTTTGGGATCCACCTTGTCACCCTTGGTTACAGATTCTCTCTCCTCCTTTTAGAATAAGAGATTTAAAAAAAAGACATAGTTGTTCTGCTTTTGTTTTATAGCCACAAGATTGCTTGAAGGAGTATATTTGAGACTTTGTTCAAAACCAACTTACGTATAATTAACAAATTGAAGAGCATAGTACACACACACAATTTACTGGGCTCTTTAATTTTATGTATATTCTTATAGAATATTTCAATTATAAATAATACGAATATTTTAAAATCACCTTTACCACACTTTTTATTCATAATGAAAGTAGGAACACTTTTTCAAAAAAAATTTTAACTAAGAGAATGACATAAACAGACAAGTTTCCAAACAGTGACTCTCCTGCTATTCTGGTAAATGCCTTCAAGCAATAAGCACATGGCTAAACACCTGTTCAGTAAACAGTAGCTGAATTAGATTGAAAAGTGCAGTAGTTAAGGAAAGGGGAAATGAAGAAAGAGCTCCTGATCCAGGAATATATTGTAATTGATGAAGTTCTGGGTACACTTAGGGCTACGCTTTAGAATGTGAAGGAGATTGTACCTTAAGTAGCTGCAAAGGCCACCCTGATGTACTGTGAAGATTTGGTCCCTCACTCACAGACTGACTAAATGATATTCCTGCAATGGTGATCTCCTTCTCACTTGTAAATGAGGGCATTATTGAGAAGGGTATACAAATCTGTGATGAGTCATCCCTAAATACACCCTTGTAATTACCTACAAGTGTAAGGCAATTATGATAAGTATCATAGAATGGTAAGTATACATGAATAAATTGAATCTAACTGAATAAAACTAATAATAGGTTTACATTTCAAGAGCTTTCTCCATGCACTCTTAAGTTATATACATGCATGTGTGTGTACTTACAATTTCACTTCGTTATTAGTCACAACAAATGTATGAAGTACCATTATTATTATTCCTATTTTGAAGTTGAAGAAACTGAGGCATAGAAGGATTAGGTAACTTGCCCAAGGTCCAATTGCAAGTGATTGGGCCAGAATTAAAACCCAGGATTCCTGATGCCAGAGACCATGCTCTTAACCACTGGGCTAAAATAAGCTTCAAAAAACATTACTGCACAACTATGTTGTTAGTACACCATAGGCACCATGCCAGGCACTTCGCTAAGAGCTAGGAGCACTAAAAAGGTTGAATT